ATATATATATATATATCTTCACTTTAGGGGCTCACTCTGCAGTCGAGCCAGGCTGTGAGCAACGCTAAACGTCTGGGCTGGCCTCTGACTGAGGTGGGGGAGGCTCTGTATCTGACCCGGGCTCCTGGAGGGTATCCCTTCTACCTCGTGGACAAAGAGCAGCCTCACAGTGGTGAGTGACGATGAATCAATAACTGTCGTCATTTCATCACGTGTGTCAAGGAAAAATACCAAGCTTCACAAATGCAAAGAGTTGCTTGGTTTCATAGCATTATACATTTATTTATAGCAATACTCATTTAATTGTATTATATTGGTCAAGCTAATTAAGCATATGTCATTATATTTTGTGTGTTTTTGATTGATTTATTCAATGATCAATCTACACATTAATAATATATAATGAAGAATAATTATGATCTGCTGCTACAAAGATTTTTTTTAACCCAAAAATAATTTAATATAACCATGTCATGACTTGCTCCACGGTATCTTTTAGTTTCTTGGAGTAAAGCTCATTATCATATTTTCTTAATGGGAATTGCATGACACATGAAAAGTTTCCTGTGACCATATCTCTGATGCAGCACTGGCAGCTGGGGCAGACAGATGTGCAGTATGCTGAAGAGGAAAGCGTTCAGCACTAACCTCTGAAACTTTGTTCCCAGACCCGGTGCAGAAGGTTTGTCTCGGAGTGTCGGACCTCCAGAGATCGACCCACTACTGGACTACGCTTTTGGGAATGAAGGTGGTGGAGAAGAATGAGGAAAAGAAAACGGTGCTGTTGGGATTTGCAGACACTCACGTGAGTCAAGTATCATAGCAATAATTGTGCTTTGTATTTTGTATGTCTTTTAGTCTGTTTTATTTTTTTATTCCCATGCAGTGTAAACTGGAGCTTCATGATAACGGTGGGGCAGTAGATCATGGAACAGCGTTTGGGAGAATAGCATTTTCATGCCCACGGGAACAAGTAAAACATTATGTCATGGATGCATTCTAGTAAGTGTTAATATTGGAGAAAATCTTTAGCATTTTCATCATCAATGTTTTATTACATCCCACAGCTGCCGGATCTGGAAGCCTTGATGAAAAAGGAAAATCAGAAAATTCTCACTCCATTAGTCAGCCTAGACACTCCTGGAAAGACCACAGTAGAAGTGGTTATACTGGCTGACCCAGTAAGTGCATTATCAATGTAATGCTGTAATAAAGTTAAATTAGTCTCTGTTTTTAAAATGAACTCACCTGGACAATGCTTGTTTTAGGATGGTCATGAAATTTGCTTTGTGGGAGATGAGGCTTTCAGGCAGCTGTCCAAGGTGGACCCCGAAGGAAACAAACTGCTTAATAAGGTTAATGTTGCTTCAATATCTTCCTCTCCAGATTAAATATGCTACATGTATTTGATATTCACCGTGCCTGTGCTCCTTCTGCTTTCAAACTTGTTTTTTAGGCTATGGCCGAAGATAAAAGTGACGAGTGGTTTGCCAAACACAACAGACAGAAAGCTGCTGCATGACATGAATTGAACACCATCAATGATGACAAGGCACAAGGGACCTGTGGCGTTAATATGACAACCCAATTATCCTTATTCGGGTAGTGTGAGGATTATTCTTCCCTGGATGTGTGCCATGATGTCGCATTGACAGCACTTTGTGGAAGAACCACTTGTTTGTTTAATTTTATTGACATGCTTCCAATGAATATTAGACTATCAATAACACAGATAGGCGTTCAAAAAGTCAATTTGATTCAACTTACTCCATTTAAAATGTTTAAAGATGTTTTGATAGGCTCCTGCTAGCTGTTTACTGATCATTCAGTGTCATGTAGTAGAAATAGTTTATTCATGTTGTTGAATTACATTGAATCTAATAATTTGTAAAGATAAAAAAAAAGTGAATAAATTGAGTTTCTGTCACTCTGTCACCACAGTGAAATAGTTTGATTATGACTGTGTGTGTTTACTGTGTATGAAGTGGGGGTGGCCTCCTTTGATGACCCTTTATGTTTGAGTGCAGAGTATAGTTAAAGATTAGTGTTTACTTGGCGCTGCGCCAGCTCCTCTCCCACTAGTCACAGTTCTCGGCTGCAAGTCAAATGAGCTGCCGGCTGAGCGGACCAGGAGTCAGTGTTTCCTCTGCTGCCCGAGCAGAGAGCTAACCGTCACATGAGACGGGTCTTTGCAGCGCTATGAAGGTGTCAGGGTAAGTAACCTATGACCTGGAGCCGACGGAAGCTAAGACATCTTACAGCAGTAACCCAAATGAACGCCAAGTTATGTGTGCCAGCTATGCTATGCTAAGTTAGCCGTAGCGTTAGCTTGCTAACACTGATTTGCTACTGATTTTTTTTTTTTTGGATGACGCGGCGACAAAACATCTTAAAACTATTTGGTGTTTTGTTACTTTGAGCTAACGCTGTAACGTTAATCCCTCAACACCGGTTTGAACTGGTGGTTCGTTGACGAGGACTAAGTTTAGGTAACACTGTTACACGCTGAGTGATGAAGTTAAGCTAAGTGCGGTTTCATGTTCATTTCCAACTACACTAACGTTAGTTAATTAGCAGTTAGCACCGCGAGGCTATAGGCGTTGTTGCTTGAAAAACACAATTGACGTTCGTCATGGTGCGTCACTTTGTGAAAGTGAAGGGCGAGTTATTGATTATTGTTTTTGTTTTTTATAGCAGCCAGTCACACGACTCTCCCTCCTGCATGTGAGGCGTGTTCATCTGAAGTCTGTTCCTCTTTGACAGCAGCTGATGGAAGAAGAGACAGACTCATGTCCGAGATTTGGGTGTGAACGACTCGGGACACGATGTCTCTCTTTCTGATCTCCTTCCTGCTTATTCTTCTGCTCGGGATTGTGTTGTTATGTGTCATTTTCAGGTAACCATTGAAACGTGTTCAATTCTACTGTACATTTTTTAATGCAACTGATGTTCTACTAGTTGTAGGATTTAACCCAGATGTGTCTTATTTACATGAACAATTATTTACAAAATCTAACATTTCTGCTCTTTCCTTGTTGCTTCTAGGTGGCTCATCTGCACCCTGGCTGTGCGGTTCTTCCAGACTGCACTGAATGCTGATCTAAAGATCAAATCAGTCGGGCTGTTTTCTGTCCAAGGCGTCAGTATCCAGTTTCACCCCCAGCACACTCTGGTAAGACACGCTGTGTTTACACAACATTTATGTGGTGAGCTCATTCAAGGCGCGTGCTTCCCCTTCAGGGCTTCATGTTTGGCACAGTAATGGCAAATGGCAGTTTGTCAACTGTCTCAAAAATAAATCAAGGATACTGTTTGACTTCCTGTACCATAACAGTGAATCTCTTTATGACAGGAAATTGACAGAATATGGATTTCGAGTAAACTTCTAAACCAGGATTTGCCGTAAGTTGTCATATTTTTGTTGTTGTTGTCAGTTGGATAGTTTGAGATGAAATCTTTCAGCAAGTCAGTTCAAGATTCAAAAGCTTTATATATATATATATATATATATGACATTAAGTAACTTTGTAATTTGAGACAGCTACTGCATGTTTGTATTTCAGGAGGTACCTGGCGTTGTGCGTTGGCGAAATCAGAGTGAGGTTCGACTTGCAGGCACCACTCAGACCTTTGGGGAAGAAGAGCCATGGAAAAAAGTCTGGGAGGATCTCAGTCAGCCCCACAACGCTCCGCTTTCTGTCACAAGTATGGAGCCTCACTAAAGGTTCACTCTTTGGCTAAACGCATTCGTAGACGGCGTCCCACTTCTTCTTGTCTTGTGTTTTCAGCTGCTGTCGTTCCACGTCAGCTCCATCAACGTGATGGTCCTGAACCTGGCATTGACAGAGTCTCTATGGCACATGACCGTCGCAGGCATCACCTTGTTACTAGACCACCAGAGTAAAAGGTAACTGCGCAGTTCACACTCTGTTACGTCTGTCTACCAACGATCTAATTAAATTATTACATTTAATAGAAAGGAAAGAAGGATCAGCGGATAATGTTATGAACTTTCATTACAGGTTGGCGTGGGACTTCTCAGTCGGGCAGCTAAGCAGTAAAGTGCTTAAAAGCAGTCAGTTGGTAAGTTCTTCTGTTTCCCCTGAAATGGAAACTTGTGATTGAGTGTGAGTGACTGACATGCGTTCCACTGTAGGATATATGTTTGGCTGAAGTGGCCCTGAGCCTGCTGCTGTCTGGAGACGTGAGCCTACCGGAGATGAAGCCAGGTTCTCTGTCCCTGAATGTGAGGACACTCATAGCAGAGCTCCATGAGGGACTATTTCTGAGCCAGCTCCTGCTGCCCCCCTCTCCCAAAAAGAGCAATCAGGAAGCATCTGGTGAGCAAACACAAAGTGTAATCTCTGAAATGCCCAAAAGTTGTTATGAGAATAATTTAACAAACAAACTTAGCAATGGCGAGTGAGGAAGCATGTCAACTTGTAAAGCCACAATATTCAGCACATATAGAACTATTCACTGTATTTATCCCTTTATTGCCCAAGAACTATAACTATGATGGCTCTTATGGTTGTTTTCCATCCGTGAGCCTCTGCTTATTGTAAAACACATGGATGTCTACTGTTGTCTGTGGTATTTTTAGCTGTTCTGCTAACAATGAGGACACGGTCACATCATAGAGCTGCATTGACTCTGTAGGTGTTTGAAATGTCCACATGCTGAATGATGAATGGATACAATCTGACCTACCCAGGAAATACAGCACACGCTATGAAATAAGTTTAAAAAGTAAGAAAACAATGTCATGTGTTTAGGTTTTTATTCACATGTGTTGTTAAAACTAGAACCCCAGTAGCACAGACATCAAGGTTAAGGTTGACACTGTCCTCTATATAAATACACACTAATAACTGCAAAAAGGAAGAATATGACACATTAGCTCACTCAGGTATTTCCACGCCAAACACATTTTTGCATCATCAGACAGCTAAAAAATTAAGTAGAATACATTCACTATAGAGTAGGCCTAGAAAATATGCACCAGCTGGCATATAGACAAAGCACCAAACATTATGTTTAATCAAAATGTTATTGTATTCATTAGATTTTGTAGAAGCTTATTTTTTGTTTCTACAACCATTTAACAGGTTATTTAGCTGTGGCAGACTCAACAGTTTTAATTGCATCATACATAAATACTTTTGTGATTTAATAGTATTGGTGCTGTTTCCTCTCAGAGTGTGAAAGCACGGTGTTCATCCAGACTGAGACGGTGGAGCAGCTTCATCGGCTGGTTCCTCACAAGGTCAACATGGAGTTTGATAATACAAATGTAACCATGTCCATGCACAGCCAGAAAAGGTGAGTCAACGTTTTTAACCATCAAGTGCATATAGTTGTTGTTTTGCACAATTCTATTCCATCGTCTGCTTCTTCTTCCTGTCGGCACAGACACCTGAACTGGACCCTGAAGTCTTTAAAAGTGTGCTACGGACGTGACGACGAGCAGCTTGCTCTCAGAGGCTTCACTCCTGAGCTGAGCTTTCCCCAGAGCAGCCTGGAGCTCCTTCTCGAGGGTCAGTGGACAGCTGGGTGCCACACGCAATGCAGAGAGAGTTTCACGAAGGAGAAAGCTATGAATAACACATTCTGAATTTATTTTATTTTAACTGACAGATGGACTTCTACTCTCACAAAGTAGGCAAAGAATCCTTTGTGTGAACACGCTGAAGACAGCCCTGCAGGTGAGGAAAGAGGCTTGATAGTCGCAATACAAGAGCAAAGCTTCTTAAATCCATAACTGACATTATTTTGACTTGGTCTCTTCTATTTTTCTACATTTAGATTACGTCAGTTGACATCTCGGGGTCATTCACGATCAACACTTGCATCATCCACTACCGTCACCAGGAGTTATCCCATTGGCTACATCTATTTCCATGGGAACAGCTAATCCACAGGAAGGCTGCACATAGAAAAAGGCAAGTTGCAAATAGAATAAAAAAATCAAAGGCTTCGATTCAGACATTTTCAGTGACGTCTCTAAAAGAAAGTTAACTGTAGTGATTGGATCTGTGTTCTGTCACAATGACCTAATATCTTTTTTCTCTTCCTTATTCACGTTTGTGTTCGCACATCACTCATTCTGTATTGTTCTTGTTCCCGTGGCGTAATTGTGTCGTGTAGTCCATTAGATTATTTGCCCACCCTCCTCTTCCTCAGGCGCCTCCCTCACCTGGACGCCCCCGTGATGATCACCTCCTCCGTGTCCAACGTCAACGTGTCTGTCCAGCTGGGGGACACGACGCCGTTCGCTCTCGGCTTCCTCTCTGCTAGTGCAGGTACGGTCGGCTCTTTCACGTGCTGCACACGTTCACAGAGAACTGCAGGGGAACGTCATGTGATGTTGCTGCTACAGAGCAACATGAGGGCGTTGTTTGCGTTAATGTATAACCTCAACATCCTATGGCGAGCAGCAGCACTTAATGTTATTACTTTATAGCGTGTTAAAAGTCCTGTACTGTTGTCGCAACACGTTTTCATTCAGTAGATCGTTGTGGGTTTTATTCTGAAGGCAACCTTTGGGTCAATCTTTTTCCAAACATGCCAAACTAGATAAGATAAGGTCTTTTCTTAGAGTCGCCTCTAAATGTTACACATTAACTTGTACTCCTTTGTATCCATGTTAACGTTTTTGGAAAATTACATTTTTAATGATGACTTGCACTTCCTGTGTCTGTAGAACTGCAGCATCTTCTTGACATTAAAGATGACGCAGAGATCACAGAGTCCCAGAATGTGCACCGGCGGGCCTCGCTGTCCCTGGACAACTTCTGGTGGAGAGTGGGTCAGGGGTCTCACATCCAACAAGCACCCCACCCTCCTGGTAAACATGTGTGGGGAGAAGCGCTGATTTTAGACTCGCTCAGTCTTCAGGTAGGAGCAGAAATACTGACAAACTTGTTTTATTGTATGTTTA